GCCCGGCGCGGAAGAGCCAATAGTCCGAAAACTTCGAGGCCATATCGGGGTTGGAAAGTTTTCCCTCACCTTGAGATCTCTCGGTGCATCGGGATACGTGGGCGACAGCGCCTTGTGAATGGGTCCACCCACGCTGTACGATAACATTTTTCTACGTCCGGCCCTACTCCGTACCCACTTATCCGTTAGTTTTAATGGAGCCACTTTGGCTTATCCTTTCACACTAATGACTTTTATCACGAACGATCGGCGTATTATGCGACGTGGGAAATGTTTACTTAGCGATCAGCTAATTGCCAGCGTGGATTATACGAGGAGTGAGTGGATCTTCCGACTTTCGTGAGTGTACTTCGACAGTGTCACAATATTTTCACGACGGATAGTTTAAAAGTGTCTGACCGTCACGACATCTTATCCAATGGATTAATCACGAATAAATCCCTTTTTTTCCCGTATACCTGCGCCTTTATTTCTTCCGACATTGGCTTACTGCTCCGCTCCTTACACTCGTTATTGTAGGAAGAGACAAAAAAAAAAGGAATAAAAAAAAAAGAAAAAAGAAAAAGAAAAAACAAAGAAACAAAAAAGAAAGAAATTATGCTCGCTATTATGTCAATATTATTCTTGTCATTTGCAAAGTTAGCACATAATGTCTTGTTAATGTATAAACAAGATAAACTCGTACTTACATTGTACGGATATAAGTAAACCTTAACTACTACTACACTCTTTTCCATTTTACACATAACGTTCTTGTGTAATTATTATTATTCGTTTTTCCTTCTTCAAATACCTTAATAGCTTTTCTCGTCGTTTAATTAGCACTATTAAAGCTACTCGATCGATTATATTGAGTTGGACATATGGAAATAATATCAAAACGTAATAATTTCCTGCAATCTTGAATTGACCAATACTTAATGTAATATGAATTGAATTATAAGTATCGCATATTCTCAAACCTTTATAGAAATAATGGACTTGTGTTATGCAATTATATTACTATATATAATATGCGCATATCATATCGAAAGAGAGTTACGAATTAGCAGAATAATTATTGTATAACAATGAGCTTTTAAATAACAATATCGAACAGCTAATGTCAATATGTATATAAGAAAGTCGTGTTTTAGTTGATTCATAATTGTTAATTCGTAATTGTTTGTCGACGTTTCTTTATTTGGTCACGGTCGAGGTGTATCCTACATGAAAAGCCAAACTTTAAAGTATAATTTTATGGTGAAATTATGATGTACTATTGTATTTGATAACAATCAAGCCTTAATTTTGATTTCACTTCCGTTAGAAAGTGGAAAATTCTATATATATATTTCATTCGTCTTATATTTTGCTAAAAAATACAAGTTGCGGGATAACTTTTCTGTTACGATTGAATTTCTCCATAAAGTCAAATCAATTAATCTTTCATACATCATAGAATAGTGTTTTCATAAAGAAGATGGCTTTGTACAATATGACATTGTTTATTCGCATGAGATTTTAATGAAAGAAAATCGCCGTTCATTAATCACCGATTTCCCTCATTATTATTCATTTTTTGAATACGTATAGCAAACAAATCAAGTTCCCATGATTACCGTGAAAGTTGGTAAGTGCAGCGGAAGCGAAAGAATGTAGTTCCAAGAAAATCTGTCGATCTAATCGCGATGTATCAAAGTATGCTTCATAAAATTAAATTAACGAATAATCAAGAAAATCTCGAGTACATGTATCAAAGAATTTCCCACACGTTACAAAAGTTAAACGAATAATAAGAATGCCGGAGTAGGAATTTCCAGTTCCATCTATAAAGAGAAACTAATTTTGGAGAAGCCACAGACTTTGCCTCAATGTATTCTTATGACATCGGAATGCTGTAACACCTTCTCCCCATAATCATTTGTATCAAGTTTTATTTTTATTCAGCCATGTTTTGACACAACATTTTGGTGTATCTATAACGTAGCCATTAGTGATTGGAAATCTTAAAGAGAGAGAGAGAGAGAGAGAGAGAGAGAGAGACGCATAAAATATTAATAATTCAATCGTTCGGCCGAGAAGTTTATGGCATTGATGGCGCTGAAAGGATTAATCTCGTGCTTAGTTGAGGTCCTTGGCGCACGCGTACGCTTTCCCGCGGCGTGCGTTCGTTCGTTCATTCATTCATTCTCGCGTCGCTCATTCAGAACTGAAAACTCACTACCCCCTCCCCTACCACCGGCCGCTCCTCGTGGCCGCCTTTCGTGTCTCTCCCCTCTGCCCCGTGCACGGCTCATTCATATTTTCTCTCGCTTGCTCCGACGCCTTTTCACGCGATACGTCGCTCGCTCGCGAGTGGGTGTGAGGTACATCGAGACCATATATGGACCTTCGGAATCTTCCTTTTCCTCTCTCACTCACTCACTCACTCTCTCTCTCTCTCTCTCTCTCTCTCTCTCTCTCTCTATGTAGCTCTTTCTCTCCTCGTCGTTTGCCGCGTTTCATTACCCCAGCGCGGTGAAAGCTCACCTGGCCATACAATTTTATTCATCCTCTGTGCTTGTTTTGACGCCCATTAAATCGCCTAATGGCAAGATAAATAAATTAGAAATGTCTGCCCTTTTTGTTAATATTGGATAAGTAATGGAGTCTGGGCATAAGCGGAAACGCGGAGATTAGATTGTGACATTTGGAATTATTTCATAGCCCGAATTCAATTATCATTTATTAGAGATTGCTTGTCCATAGTTTAAGTAAGTCGTGTAAAAAATTTTCTTAGCAAATATTTTTAGATAAAAAAATTTTTGTTTTTTTTTTGTTTTTTTTTTTAATACAGACTATAATGGGCTCCGTTAAGTTTGTCTGTCATTTTTGAAAAAAAATAAACAAAGGAGTAGAATTTATGAAGCTTACGCAATCGATTTTACTTGCTATTATTGCCCAATAATAAAGATTCAATAATTTTTATATAGTACGTCGTCGGGCAATTTTACGTTCGAAAATTTTAATAAAAAATGTGTATATGATATCAAATATTATGAGTAATATAATAGAATAAAGCCGACCTAAGTAAAGAACAATTCAAAAAGTCATAAATCAGTCGTTAACTTTGAGTGTTTTATTTAACCAAAGTTATAAAAAATTGTAATAAAACACGTGTTTGAAATTTGTTTGTAATCATATATATATATATATATATATATATATATATATTTATATATTTACGTATATACAAGCTATAAAGTTTGGATAGTAAACAAAAAGTTACAAGCTTTAATTTCAAGTTCATTCTATTCATAAATAACTTTAGTATTAAATAGTTGCCAAAAATATTGGAAATTGAAATAATCGTTAGTCGATAATGTGACAGGTCTGAATTATATTTATCGTACATTCAAAAGTATTTTATGTAAGCATAAATTTTATGCAAATCATTGATACGAGATCACTTCACGAGTATATACAACTACACTAAGAGGCAAGATTGCTTGACTTTAATTTTTATAGAATCAATTTAATTTTAAGATAAACATTTAGCGTACATAATAATAAGAATAATTTCCTAAACAAAAGATGGTATTATGAATACATGTAAAAAGAAATATCTTTAAGAATAATATAAGACACAGTGCATACAAATAATGGGTTATTCTGTAACATAAAAAATTTGAAAATTTTCAATATTATATTATTTGACATTAAATTCTTATAGTGCTCATGAGTACTAATAGCATAAACAACAATATATGTTTCACGGAAGCGCGAGCGATCGCGCACACAGACGCACGCACGCACACACAATGAGAGTTAAATACTAAAAGCGATTAAAAATTATCTACCTTTTTAAAATTACTGTTCAAACAATGTTCCGAGAAGTAGTTTGTAAAATAAGGGAAAATAAACGGAATAACTGTTTATCATGTTTTACATGTCCGTAATTGACATTCTGCATGCACGACGACCAAAATTGTTTTCTTACGCCTTCTGTCCATCATAAAAGACACCTCTACGATCCACTATAGATAAACACAGCTTATAACGTACCTTCCTGACAAGGCTAGAATTATAACCAGCAAACGTAGTTGCACGAATGAGATGAAATTTAAAATGTGTTCTTTGTATAATTGCGAATGAAAAACAATTTGAATGAGATGAAGCTTTAATCGTCGATTATTTCATTGACATATTTAGGCGATTTAAAATCATTTCAATGCGAGTTTTAATCAAGATGACAGGTAACTAATAAATAATAAATGCTTAAGATAACGATAATCAATATATCTAATTATCAATACTAATTTATATTAAATTACGTTAATTTGGGAGAAACGCCGTGGCAATTTTATTTATCATATTGTTTATATATATATATATATAGGACCACATAAAGAATTCGTAATAAATGACAATTTAGCATTGCAGAGCTTGAGAAAATTATGAAATTTGTTGGAAATATTCGTATCATTCGAAAAGTCATAAAACTAGCGAAATCCAAAGCCTTTAAAATCATAGACATCTGTACGCTAAAAGTGTTTAAGTAAAAAAAGAGAATAAAGTCATTTAAAAAGAGCATACTTGAAAATCAAGTTGAATTTCATCTCATTAACATTCCAAATATCTGTAATAAAGGCAGATTTAACGGGATATTGGAAAAGCGCTGCTTAGCCACAATATTTATTACACTTTGCTTTCGTAAAGTCCTGCCTCGACGCGCGGGATAATGAAAAAATAAAGGTCTTGCAGTGTGGTGATATCGATAGGACCGTTCGCACTTTATGCCCGGCATGCGTTCTATTTTCGCCGGCTGTCCGATGTCTCTTCCTTACCATCGCGCAGCTTCAAAGCCCCTTGTCGTCGTTAATTTTAGACGTCTTCCTTTCGTTCGCCTTTGCGAGCGTAAGCCGGGGGACGCGATGAAATGATAATGCCGGGAGAAAAGCCCTGGTGAAAATTACGCACGATAAACTCCACACGTGTTTCTCACCCTTCGTTTTTTTTTTCTTTCTTTCGTTTTGCAGAATGAGTCAAGATGCGACCGGAGTTCACGTTGTGCGCCATCGCCGCGGTTTTGCTCTGCGTCCTGGGATGCTGTGCCTCTGGTGAGTCATTTTAATTTAACGAGTAGCTCGCTTTCTTTGTTGACTTTGCTTTGCAATTCCGAAGCCTCTGGATACCCGAGCTCGATGTTGTTTTATATTATTTTATACCTGCACGAGCTTTCGCGACACGTTAATATTTCTCTTTAATCACTGCGATCGTAAATCTTATGCTTCATTTGCTAAAGCTCATATGTCTTTATACGAGAAACGAGTTTCTTTTTTTTCTTTCTTTCTCTTTTCTCTCTCTCTCTCTCTCTCTCTCTCTCTCTCTCAAAGTAGAGTAGAAATATAGTAAAATTTCTTAGACATCTGATATCACGGTTAAAGCCACTTGAGCGCGCGCGTACGCTCGTAAGAACTTTTTCGATTAAGGAGGAACGATCGAGTTTATAAATTATCTTACGGTAATTGCGCGCTTCAAATATTTTCGCAATCCTCGACTAAGAACATTGGCAGTTGAAAATTTGACTACTCCATTCGCTAATAAAAATATATCGTACATAAATATAAATTGTTAGATAAAAATCAGAGTTTGTAAGAAAGTATCGCGTACATTGTGCGCAAGTGCTTTTAATTTCCAAGCTCATATCGCAAACTGAATCGCTCAATATTATCCTTCTTACGTTTGAAAATAATTTTACAGGCCTTGTATTAATTACTTTATTCTCGCATGAAAGATTGAAAGAGATAATCGCTTAGAAGACGGTCCGAGGAATTTAATTTAATACATTCGCGTCGATTTCGCGTCGATTTCGCGTCGATTTCACGTCGATTTCGCGTCGTCCCCTTTAATGCTTCTGCCAATGATAAAGGAACTTAGCCTCTGCTCGTTGAACTAACAGGTCAGAAGTCGGAGCCAGGAATGGTGTTTACTCGACATCCTCAGGCATTTACCGCACCCTTGGGCGATGAAGTTTACTTCGAATGTAGCCTAAATCTCGCCGCGGAGAAGTTCGCCTGGAGGCACCGACCCCTCGGCTCCAGCGAGTGGATTCTACTGGACGCGGTGACGGTCAATGGCGGCAAGACCTCCAAATACGTCGTGTACTTTGACGACGAGACGAAGGCCGGCGACTACCGATGCGTCGCTTTTTACGGTAAATATACAGACAGACGGGGATCCTTGGACGTTCGCTGTCTCTCTCTCGACAGCCCGTAATCTTTCCAGATCCTTTAATCGCCCATAAGGCAGTAGTTAGTGCACCTTTGAGATACGATAGATTCGAGATATTTTTAATTACACCTAGTTGGAGACGTAGCCGTGCTAAGACTAGAAACAAAGCAAAAACAAAACAAAAAATAACAAAAAAAAAAAAATAACAAAAACCAAAAAAAAAAACAAAAAACAAAAAAAAACAAAAACAAAAACAAAAACAAAAAAAAAGAAAGAAACAAAGAAACAAACAAAAAAGAAAAACAAAAGAGCATCAGATAGCAACAGATAATGATAAGAGATTGATAAAGCAGTCCGTAGTCCTTTAATCGTTAAGCGAGTCCTCGTAATAGATGAGTAATCTGGCCGGAATCGTTCTGTGGGCATCTGCCATTTTTCTTTTCTCCTTTTTTTCATTCAAACTCGTAAGCCAACCATACCGAATAAAACAATACAAACGCGAAAAGGGGATATAAATGAACTAACATAACAGAATCATCGGACGAATATTCGGGCTCTTTCAGGCACGAGCGGCTTAGCCTCGGATCCAGCCCGACTCACGCAGGCTCGAATAGACAAGTTCTCCGACAAGGGGAACGTCTACCTCCGGGTGCCGCTCGGCAACAATGTCCCAATAACTTGCCCAGTGCCTTACTCTGTGCCCGAAGCCGTCGTCCAGTTCTTCAAGGACGGTAGTTCGATACAGAACGCAAGCCCAACCGGCAGTAAAGTCATGATTATCGAGAGGGTGAAGCCATCGGACTCTGGCAGCTACAACTGTCAGGCCAACAATTACATAACCTCCGAAACCTATACCAGCAATCACAAAACCCTACTGGCCGTCGATAAAAATACGACCGATCAGGCGCCATACTTTATAAAGCAGCCCCAGAACGAGTACAAAGTGCAGCGCGGCAAGAATGTCACGTTGGAATGCTTCGCCGTTGGCTACCCCATGCCTCAGGTAAATTTCCTACGATATCTTTCAGCCGGGGCGATCGCTCAATTTGTCAGCAATTTATAAATAAGCATCGGGATTACGTTTTGTCGTGTGCCTCTTGTCCGTTTGCTCGATCGCGAAGAGAGACGTTGGCCAAGATCTCTTTCTCCTTAGTGTTGTTCGTGCAAAGTGCGGACGTGAAATTTATTATTTATACGATCGTGAAAATATTTTTACCATTCATATCGATGTTATCCGTATGTTATCACCTATGAAATCTACCATCAAATGCCCATAACGATTAAACGATTAAAGGTCTCTATTGATAAGCCCGAGTCTCGATTATAAGTTATCGAGTTTAAGTTAGTAGTGTGTCGACCGTACGTGTCAATGTCGAGCGATAAAGACTTACGCGCGCAAATGGCTCGATGCCCATCGCCATCAACGCGCTCCTCGCCTAATTAAAAATTAATGAGCTAATTAAGACGGCCGAGCGACTAATCGGTATTCGCGCGCCGACTGACAAAATCCTGCACAAATTGGCGTGCAAAGATTTTGAAGCGCGTAAAGGCCCCGATAAAGGACGAGAACTGGAGAAATACGACTCGCAGGTGACCTGGACGAAGCTGGGCAGCTCACTACCGAGCCGATCGAGCTACTCGCCGACGGGTCTCAGGCTGACGAACGTCCAGCCCTCCGACCGGGGCGAGTACGACTGCCTGTGGACGAACCGCGCGGGTCGCGTCAAGTCCGTGATTATCCTGACGGTGGTGGAGCCACCCTCGGTGCTCCGTGCCCCCAAGCTCTCGACGTTCCCGGAGGGCGGGGAGCTCGAGCTCTCGTGCAACGCGACGGGCTATCCGGCTCCGGATCTCGAGTGGCTCATCAACGGCGAGACTCTCGCGCCCGGAAAGAACCTCGAGATCAGGGGCTCGAGTCTCGTCATAACGCTCGTGGAGAAGAAGCACGCGGGCATCGTGCAGTGCGTCGCCAGCAACGAGTACGGCTCCCACTCGGGATACAATTACCTCAGGGTCAGCCCCAAGCAGCACGTGGGCGGCGGCACCAAGTCCAGGGGCGACTTTGGGCTGTCGAGCAACGGGCACAAGCATACGAGGGTTGGCGGCAGACGAAGGGGCAAGAACGGCAAGCGCAAGGACACGGGTAAGTTCTTATCTTATTCTCGGTATATCATTTCTCGGTAAAGCGATCATCGGCTTATAATGTGACCGTAATCAATACATCATAGAGCTCATAATGCTCAATGCTTTCTCGTTATATTATTTTCTTTCTTTGGATGCGACGTGTGGCGCGTGTCACTCGGAATGTTCTATGCTGCGGTGGTTGGCAATTATGTTTTTACACTTTTTCACGTTTTTACGTGAAAGTTTAATTACGAGATGAAATTTTTGGCGAACGATCGATCGATCGATGTTTACTTTCTCATGAAATTATAGCCCCTCTTTTTGGGCTATAGAGTTAAAAATAAATACCCTCGTATAAATGTATTACGCGTCCACATGCGTTATTTCCATTTAGAAGAATGCGATATTAATGCAGCAATCGAATAGATAATGTAAAACTATATAAGTAAATGAAAATGTTGCTCGCACTTGTACCGATTCAGGCAATAAACAAAATTTCTATTTACTTATTGTTCTATAAAAAAAATACAAGAGTAAAATGAGTAATGATGGGAGAAGGGTGCGAGTCGAATGGCCCTCCTAAAGGGGTAAAAGATCGTTATGAAAGGCCTAGGGACCATCAATGTTTAAAGCACTAAAAATTTGTTAATTTTAGATGTCATGGTACCGCCCAACCAGCCAAATGTCACGAGATTATCGGACATGTCGGTGATGGTGAGATGGTCGGTGCCGGAAAATCACGGGCTGCCAATTTCATTCTTTAAGGTGCAATATCGCGAGCTCGGACAGAAACCCAACAGTAAACAGGCCAAGTGGATGACCGCCAACACAGAGATCCCAAGTCACATAAGATCGTTCGAAGTAACCGAACTACAGCCCGATCATACGTATAGATTTCGAATTGCAGCCGTATATTCCAATAATGACAATGCCGTGAGTCCGATATCGGTAAGTATCGCGCTTGTGTGCGTTGAAATTTCGATTTTTCGCCCAAGTCTCGCTGTCACAAGTGACCGATCGTGAACGGATCGTCGCGTTGGTCGCAACACAGCCATTATTACCCTTTGCCGATTTGCGTTGGTGTCATTGTTGTTAACTACTAGTTTTATTTATTCATCATCGAGCTAGATTCTCATACAAATCTAAATCTAAATCTAAATTTAAATCTAAATCTAAATCTAAATCTAAATCTAAATGTAAATCCATTTGAGCTTAACTCTCTAAAACGTTTTAGTCACGCAAGCTTTATTAAGGGCCGAGTGTCAAATTGTTATAAAGTAACGACTGAAGAGCTAAGAATCTCATGTCGTGACTCTTAAGGGCCGATCGGAACAAACTACATCATTATTCCCCGTCTATCGGCTTTCCCGCTCGAACTCAATGAAGCCTTATAACGGCGATTTCCGCTTTTCTCAGGTTCGCTTCCACTTGTCGCGCAAGGATGGCTTCGACAGCAACACGATGCCAATACCTCTGCTAACGCACACGGAGGCCTTGAGCCCGAACGAGGTCCTGCTCATCTGGCAGAATACAAACCGCTCGGCGGACATCGACGGCTTCTACGTCTATCATCGCGCCTCGACCTCCGCTGGCGATTACATCAAGACGACCGTCGAGGGCAAGATCTCGAGCAACATCACCATATCTCACTTACAGTCCGACACCGCCTACGAATTCAAGGTTCAAAGCTTCTCCGTCGGCGCGGCATCCGAGTTCTCGCAGATACTGCGTCAAAAAACGCGAAAGGTCGTGACGGAGGCGCCGGTGCCCCAGGTCCTCGCCGAGAACAAGGTCAAGTCGCCCGTGGAAAGCGTGAGGAGCTCCAACATGTACGCGATTATCGGTGGTGTATTGGGTGGAGCCATACTTTTGGCAGGACTCGCCGCCGTCGGCGTCGCCTACAAGAGGAGCAAGCACAAGCAGAGCCGGGAGTCCTCACAGGATGAGGGTAATTTTCTTTATCGGTTCATTAAGCATTTCCCGTCGTGTCTGCGACACTGCGACCTACTTTTAAGGTTGCTCCTTGTCGCGGCCCGTCATCCTTTCTCGTGTATTTCTCTAAATAATAATGATACGACTCGCGCCCAACGACGTAAGATGTCTATTATTCCCGATAGCTTCGCTCGCCAAGCAGAAATTTAATCACTTACTTGTTTATTTATTAACTTTTTTTGGTCGAATGAACGATCCGTTCCGTTCCGCGCCAATAATAAATAATAATAAGAGCATAATTTGTATGTAAATCGATTGAAAGATACGAATTTCATTGTCACCTTGAATATTACAGAGCCTTGCAGTTATTATGAATCGTATTTATTCTATTATAATTATATTTTCCAATTTCAGTATGTATTATTGGCAATATTTGACCATTCCAAATGTCGAATAAAGAAGAATTTTTATGTCAACTCGGAATAAATAAATTTTTTAAGCTCGTTGTGTGTGCGCGCGTCTGTGTGCATTATTATATTTCTGCTTGGTTAATTGGATATCGTTTTAAATAAAAAATGACGTAAATTTTTGATAAATACGAAAAATTTATTCTAAACTCTAGAACCGTGGGGAAGCATTATTATATATTTGTATAGAAAAAAGAAAAAAATTTACTTAAATAACAAAATGCATACAAAAACAAAAAAAAAAAAAAAAACATACTCTGAATATAGAGTACAATTAACTATTTACATGATAATTACTAATACCATGGTGATGCCGTATATACGTATATAATACACCTATCACTTGATGCACTCGCTCATGCGTTACGAAAGCAAGAAAAATGTGTAGCGGCGAATGAAAATTTGCATATGCATACACAATAGCTAGAATAACAATAATAAATATCACGATTTTCAAGGGAATAAAGTAATCGCTCGTTTTTCCAGGTAAACCAATAACAAATGGCAGGGTAATGAATGGTGGAATAACAGATTCTAAGATAAACATAACATCTAATCCACTGGCAGGTCTTGAATCTACCGAGGACTCGATGCAGCCTAAGGTCAGTGAATGAATCTTGCGATTGATGCTTTTTACGGTTGATTGGAGAAGTCACGACGGCGTTGTATCTCTCTATCTTCCGTTTCCAATTACTTTCTTCTCTATACATCTCTGCCAAACTCTACAGTCTGCGTAAAGCACTGCTGTTACTTCTTTCGCCACTTAGCTGAAAGTACACATACGCGTTCTCGCATATGTAGCCGCAGCTTCACACTATTACAAAGGTTCGCTGGTTCGGCGGTGTATATTCATCGTTCGCCTTTCGTGTAAAAGATAATTTGCAACGCCTTCGTTGCAACACTTGGCTGAACGTGCCAACATGCGACGAGAAGAGAAGGCTCGGGCGAGAAAGACGAACACTGTCTATGCACTAGCCAACGGGCGGCCCTGTAGCAGAAATCAAAAAACAGAACATCGTTTCCGTTTCCGTTCCTTTACCATTGCTCTCTGTCGCTCGCTCTACTCGCTACTTTTACGGCTATCCCCGTCCCTCCCTCCCTCCCGCCCTCCTAACCACGAAACACTACTACAGAAATCTACTGTCGAAAATTAAATAGAGAAAAAACAAAAGAGAGAGAAAAAAAAAAAAAAAGAAAAAAAAACAAACAAACAAAAACAAACAGAAATTGACACGCACGTAGGTCTGAAAAGACTCTGCTACTACGCTGTAGATCACAAAAGAAGCGATACGAACGAACGAAAGAACACGCATATTTCTAAACGCAGAGCGGACAACAGTCGCCAATGGAAATGGCCTCGTTTCTTAACGGGCAGAACAACAACGGCAGCAACAACAGCCACCAGAGCCAGCAGCAGAACCACGTGGCCGGGACTCCTGTGCCCCAGCTACACCAGGACGCGAACCCGACCGGCGGAGCTGCCGTTAACCCGCCAATGAGCGAACCTCCTCCCCTGCTGCAGACTGCACTACCGAACGAGCAGCCCCTTTGAATGTCCCGGGTCGTGTCCTTCTCGACCTCCATCCAATCAACCCCGCACCCCAACCCGCTACCGCTGTCGCGCTTCGTCCGGCTCCCACGAGTGGCCATTATTACGCTAACAGAACGCATTAGTTTATTTACCTGTTTACCTGGCTTGATAAGACAGGTGGCGTTTCTTCGCAATAGCACCTTGGCTTTTCAACCAAACCATCCTCACCCACCTACATCGCTCCACCTCCCACCACCAACCACCACCACAGCTCCTCGTCAATGGCACTTCTCTGTGATATGGTTCTGTTAGTGTGTTAATGCTATATCCCACGGCTTAATGTGTGATTGATTCGACGTTGGCCCTCACACGTGGCCCACTAGAGTTTGCTTTCGACAAGTCGAGTCGAAGTCGAGCTCGGCAGCCCCGACTCTCGACTGTCAATGGAAAGTCAAGCATCGTATATTCCTTCCGATTTTATTAAGCGAAAGCGCTGCTATTTGAATTTCGAATCTGTCACGTTACGTGCGCCAGCGCGTCTCCGCGTCCCAGCGTCTCCCCCCCCCCCCCCGCCCCCCCACCCCCCCCCACCCACGCACACGCACTCACACGCGCACACCGAACCAACACAGCACACAGCACGCACGCTCGCTTTTGGCGATGAAAATATTTTTGTATTAGAAATTATGGTTTTTTTTTTTCGTCACTTTGTTCAGTGTTCGGCGGCGAACATGATATCAAAGTGTCGTCCTTATGCCAGACAACGATTGTTCTTTTTCCTCCCTTTCATTCTTTCCTTTTTTCGTTTTTTACCAATAGACCTGTCAATCTATGTAAGAAAAAAAATTAATTACGAAACCTCGTAATAAGAATGATAAAAGTACAATGACTCGTTTGAACGTACAATATGCTGTTTACAAAAATATTTTCATGCAAAAAATGTGAAACAGGCATGAAGGAAAATCGCAAAAATTCATCAAATATAAAGAGACGCTAACGATTTTTAATTATTAATTATTTTTACATAGTCTGCTATGAGGAAGTCAATGAGACAGAAATTGTCTAGAGCGTTTTTATGTACCTGTGGGATTGCAGATTAAATGCGACCAAGACTTTTTCACGTAAAATATGAATAAATTTACAAATTTTATCGTTATGTAATGTCGAGTCATGATATTGTAATAGAAAAGCGAAGATATTATACAGCAGAACCTTAGTCACTGTAAAATATAGTGAAATGCTTGCAGACTGTCTGTCAATACAAGTGAAAATCGCGAAAAAGTACGCGATCGTTCCAAGCTTATTGGCAAAAATGACAAAGGCATCGCACCTACAGTGTCGAGGGTTTAATTCTGTAATTGCATATCAAGATTTTTCCTCCTAGTACAATTTGATACATTTTATTATTTGCGATATCTCATACGTTAAAATACGTATATGTTTAACAGCACGAACTGTATAATGCAAATCTTTATTTTGGACAGAAAAACAAAAACAAAAATTAAAAAAAAATTATATATATAACTTCATAATTATCTATTACATGATTATATAGACGACATTGATAGGCATATATTTTTTTCCGATATATGTACATTTAATGTGACGATAATTTACAAAACAAATGAATGGTTATATACAATTGCATTAAATATGAATATAAAATTAATTTTAAGAAATTCTTGATTTTTTCAGTACACAGCCTTCACGTATAATCCATAACTTAACATATTATTAATTTGATGTTCGAATGTTCTACTTTGTATATAAAGTAAGACATATTATTGTGAGATTAAATTATTGACTAGCGAACGAATTTTTATAAATTCTTATTTATATATTTCATGCATTTCACTGTAAAATCATTTTTTTTTTTTTTTTTTTTTTTTTTTTTTTTTTTACGTAGAATAAAACATCAACAAAGTTTTATAAAATTAAAGGAAAACTAACTGTAAAATTTTCATTTCCATGTACTTGTATAAACATGCATTTTATGTACAGAAACAACATTTATTCTATGCGACAGCTAATTAAAAAGTAATAGTACTTTGAATTAAAAAAAAAAAAAATTTTTTTTTTATATATTTATATATATATATATATATATATATCACGTAATACAGAGTGCAGACCAACACTAGAGACTTTCATTATTTAGTTAACAGTATTGTCCTTTTAATGAAAATTAATTTTTTAACTGCTCTAAATGTTACGACTTAAGCAATGAAGCTGTAACCCTTAATGGATAGTCAAAGGCAGCATCGAGACGTGTTTTTAGTTAATTAAAATTCGATTATGTGTAATAATATAATTTTAATGTGTAATGTGAATATTTAGTTGAAAATTGAGATGAGATCGGAGATATCTAAAGTGAGAATTAGGTTATATGATGCGCACGTTCGAAAAAAATTAAAAATTTCTAATTTTTTGTGAAATGTATATGTGAAAACATTTGTAAATATACATGTTTATAAGAATAAATACAAGTTAGTCAAGCATAATTATTTTAATTGTTGGCACTTGTGGTTGTAATGCATATATGTATATATATATATATATATATATATATATATATATGCATATACATATATTATTGACACGAATAATAATACAAGTACACGCACACACCTACACACAAGCAACACCGTCCACATATGAATTTAAGATGTTGTTTGATGAGATTTAGTTGTAAATATTAGATTATAATAATTCTCATCAGCAAGTAGTGCCTTATAAGGCTCGAAAAAAGATAAAACAGAATTTGACGAATAATGAATATTTATAAATAAGTCGACAATCCTTTATATATGTACTTAATATTTCTTTTCATAATAAAACATTAAATACAAAAAAAAAAAAAAAAAAAAAAAAAAAACAAAAGAAAAAGTCACGAATTTATTGATTTTTATCTGCTTTCCTTGGCCTTGTTGATTTCTAAGTAAATTATTTCGTCAATAATTTTCAGCTATTTGTGCATCTAAGTTTTTTTTATATATAAAATAAGAAATGAGAAAAATGCATTATTACATCGAAAAATGTGAGAACCGACTTAATTTGTTTAATTTTAAACGATACGAAAATTAAGTGAAGCATGCTAATGACATTTCGAATAAGATATACACGATTACTAAATTACCCAAAGTAGCTTTTACTCACATCTATACTCATTAGGCAAATACGAAATTAAAATCTCGTGGTTTTACAAAAAGCTAATACCGGCTGTGTAATCTCGTTATATCCACGCCTTACGCAATCCTTGCCGACTTAAAAATCTTGCACGTGAAAGATACTGGAGTCCCATTCCAGGTAGTTGCATCCGTTAAAGAATGTTTCCGGCACGCGCGCACGCGTATCCCTACACCTGACTGTCAAACTGACAAAATACAAGCAAAGTCAACTGGGTGTCTCAAGCTACTAGTCATGAACACAACACAAAGCTTTGAATTCAAAGGCAATTTATACGTGCCGATGCTATCGGAAACGAGCATCTTTATAAAGGTTCGTGATTTTCTCTTCTGCCATGTCTTCGAGATTGCTTTCTCTATAGAAATAACATGGCATTTTTGCCTAGCCCGCATCATCCTCGTCCATTCTTTCTTTTTTATGTTACTCAACTTTCCGTGATTCAATCTGCGTGGCGATCAAGCTGCTGCAGCAGCTACTTATTATAGCTTTCAAACTTGTAAATTTATTCGTAGCTCCAAGTTTGGCTGGTCCATCGGCTATCTTATTCTCTCATCTTTATGATCTCTAGGGTCCACTATGGCGGCTTTAAGGCTATTTTTGAATAACGACTAAGACTTGGTACTCCATCCATCTACGGTCGCTAATAAAGTCGCACCATCGATGCTGACAATCACGTCTCTACCTTTTACATATTCATTTACCTTACAAGCGCAGTATATAATCGTTGGATAAACTTAGTTTACCAAATACAGCTCGGCTATCTTGATCGAACGACGAAGTCTGTAGTTAATCGCTACTTTTTCTCTCTCTCTCTCTCTCTCTTCCATTTTATATTGCGAATGTCTTTTTGAAGTAGCGTGAATCGTGTGCCATTGCATACTAAAGTTACGGGGAAAGCACCAAGTCCCGGACTTATTGATTTTTGCCAGCTCACTACTCGTGTTATTGTTTTATCGTTTCATAATTGGCACTCTAGTGTAAATAATTGCAAATAACATGATTTGATAATTTGCAGAATTTTAAAACTCGTGTATTAAAAAGTATTTGCACGACGATAAGAAAGTAGACATAAAGTGTTAAGTATTCGTGAAATACATAAGCGTATTGTAAAGATGATAGCGGAGTTGAGAATAGACGAAAGTACTAAACAAATGGTAAGAGAATATTTGCACATATTATTGTGTATATAAAATTATGTGCATGTTGAATGTATAAAGTTGAAATAATAATTTTAATCAAATAATGATTAATTCGGCTGGTCATAAAATGCAAATGATATCTCATAAAATCTAAATTCTAAATAACCTGACTTTTTTTACCATGGAAATATAATTCTTTTTCGAGCTACTAATTAATAAACAGCAAAGTATATTTATTCTAATATTAATATATATATATATATATATATATATAATTGAATAAATAAATATATATATTTATATATATATATATACGCATAATAAGAGTGCTCGTGTATTACATATCATTTCATCAATATTGTCTTATTATTGTCTTTAATTAATAACCATAATAATAATAATAATAATAATAATAATAATAATAATAAGAAGAAGAAGAAGAAGAAGAAGAAGAAGAAGAAGAAGAAGAAGAAGAAGAATAATAAGAAGAAGAAGAAGAAGAAGAAGAAGAAGAAGAAGCATCATCCTTAATTATAATGAGCCAACGTGACTATTTTGAGATAAAGTTTTACCACGATTCAACCTTATTACAATATCAAGTGGTATACAAATTTTTGAAAAAATATCAAACTTTTATAAAAATCTTCTCATATACTTTTTTAATTAGGTATATGTTTGCCCTGTTTTGCGGAGTAATATTTCGAATAGAGGTTTGTGGCAACTTTAAGTGTTATATGCACGCAGCCCAA